GGTAATCTTTACATACATATTTATACAAATATATTTTCTCTTTGTTCCAGGATCGATCGGAGTCGGATAAGAGCTTTGTGGAAGCTCTACTAAGAAAAATTAAAAGACTTTTTCAGTTTGTGCCAGTGAAATAATTGTTTTAAGTGTATCATGTTATTAATTGTAGATTTTTTTATTGAATAAATTCTCTTTACAAACGATTTTTGGTATTATTTCTTTTAAATTATAATAAAGAAAAATATAAAATTAATAGTCAACTTTAATTAATTAATGCATTGAAAAGTACAGATAACCAATATTGCACTACATTATTTGTTTTTTAATTGCCTAATAATTATTTTTTCTATTATTAATATTAAGCTAAAAATATATCATTTCTGGTGATTTTGTACTAATTGAACTAATTGAATATAGTTCTGAACTAAAATAGTTCTGTTAATTGAACTAAAATAGTTCTGTTAATTGAACTATATTTAGTTCTGTTGTTTGAAATAATATAGTTCTGAACTAAAATAGTTCTGTTAATCGAACTAATATAGTTCTGTTGATTGAACTAAAATAGTTTTGTTAATTGAACTGATATAGCTCTGAACTAAAATAGTTCTGCTAATTGAACTAACATAGTTCTGCTAATTGAACTAAAATAGTTCTGCTAATTGAACTAAAATAGTTCTGCTAATTGAACTAAAATAGTTCTGCTAATTGAACTAAAATAGTTCTGAACTAATACATTTCTTAAACCAAACCAAACAAAATAAAATTAAACAGTCTAATTTTATTTTGTTTATTCCCCTCAACTTTACCAACTTCCTCTGAAGTGACATGGAAGGTTTCTACTGAAGTTATTAGTAACTTATTACTACCTAGATTTCTTTGTTCCAGGATCGATCGGAGTCGGATAAGAGCTTTTTGGAAGCTCTGCTAAGAAAAATTAAGACTTTTTCAGTTTGTGCCAGTGAAATGATTGTTTTAAGTGTATCATGTTATTAATTGTAATATTAATTCAACTAACAGAACTAGTTTAGTTCGGAACTATTTTAGTTCGGAACTATTTTAGTTCGGAACTATTTTAGTTCGGAACTATTTTAGTTGAACTAACAGAACTATTTTAGTTCAATTAACAGAACTAAAATAGTTCTGTTAACAGAACTAAAATAGTTCTGAACTAATATATTTCATAAACCAAACCAAACAAAATTAAATTAAACAGTCTAATTTTATTTTGTTTATTCTAGCAACTTTACCAACTTCCTCTGAAGTGATATGGAAGGCTTCTACTGAAGCTATTAGTAACTTAAAACAAGGTCTGGTGTCTTTGTTTAATGACAGTTTCAGCAAACAGCTCTTGGAGACTGAACAGGTAAGTTTAGTAAATAAACAAATAAATTAGAGGAATCTTTACATAAATATTAATACAAATATATTTTTTCTTTGTTCCAGGATCGATCGGAGTCGGATAAGAGCTTTGTGGAAACTCTACTACGAAAAATTAAAAGACTGTTTCAGTTTGTGCCAGTGAAATGTTTTAGACATTCGGTTAACGAAAGAATCTACAAGTTTTGTATAAATATAAATAACTAGCGTGTAACAGCGACTTCGTTCGCGTCGAATTAATCATTTGTAATGGTGATGATAAAGCAAAGCAAGAATTTCCATTAACATACAAACTGGATAAAATTTTCTCACATTTATGTCAGCATGAGAAAAAAACAATATGGCGATATTATTATATAACTTGGTAATATTTGAAGGGTAGTTTCATCTCGTTGAATTTGACTTTCGAAAATCCGTTTGCCAAAAGTAAGCTTTTACGTCAAGCAAGTTTAAGCAGAATCGTGGTTAAGAAATTACCCAACTTTTTGGAACACCCTGTATGATTTTTTAAAAAAAAATCAAAATATGTAAAAAAACCAAATAAATTATGCTTGTCCAAGCGTTTTCCCGAAAGACTAACCGTTTTTTAAATAACAAATATATTGTCATATTTGAGGCGCTTTTTCACCTCTCCTTATCGAACCTCTACAACCCACAGTCAATCCGTTTGCCAAAAATCAGCTTTAAACATAAAGCAGTTTAAGCAGAATCGTGATTACTCAATGGTCATATTTTATGAAACAGTCTGTATATATTTATAAAAAATCTTAAAATATGTAAAACAACAAAATAAAATATACGTGTTTAAGAGTTTATCTGAAAAACTCACCGGTTTTTAAATAAAAAATATTTTAATATTTGAGGGATAGTTTCACACCCTTAGAATTCGAGTTTCGAAAAATCCCTTCTTATCGAACCTCTACACCCTAAAGTCAATCTGTTTTCCAAAAATCAGCTTTTTACGTCAAGCGCTTTAAGCAGGATCGTAATTAATCAATGACCAGCTTTTTCGAAACACCCTGTATACATTTTTAAAAAATCTTAAAATATGTAAAAAAACAAAATAAAATATACGTGTTTAAGCGTTTTTTCGGAAACTTAAATTAAACAAATAAATTAGAGGTAATCTTTACATAAATATTTATACAAATATATTTTCTCTTTGTTCCAGGATCGATCGGAGTCGGATAAGAGCTTTGTGGAAGCTCTACTAAGAAAAATTAAAAGACTTTTTCAGTTTGTGCCAGTGAAATGATTGTTTTAAGTGTATCATGTTATTAATTGTAGATTTTTTTATTGAATAAATTCTCTTTACAAACGATTTTTGGTATTATTCCTTTTAAATTATAATAAATTAAAATATAAAATTAATAGGCAACTAATAAAGCAGTAGCTTATTAATGCATTGAAAAATACAGATATCCAATATTGCACTACATTATTTGTTTTTTAATTGCCTAATAATTATTTTTCCTAATATTAATATTAAGCTAAAAATATATAATTTCTGGTGATTTTGTACTAATTGAATTAATTGAATATAGTTCTGAACTATAATAGTTCTGAATTAATATAGTTCTGAAGTAAAATAGTTCTGTTAATCGAACTAATATAGTTCTGTTGATTGAACTAAAATAGTTTTGCTAATTGAACTATATTCAGTTCAGTTGATTGAACTAAAATAGTTTTGTTAATTGAACTACATTTAGTTCTGTTGATTGAACTAATATAGTTCTGTTAATTGAACTAATATTGGTCTGAACTAATACATTTCTTAAACCAAACAAAATAAAATTAAACAGTCTAATTTTATTTTGTTTATTCTAGCAACTTCCTCTGAAGTGACATGGAAGGTTTCTACTGAAGTTATTAATAACTTAAAACAAGGTCTGGGCCCGAATTCTGTAACTTTGACATAAAAATGTTACGCTTTCCAAACGGTGAGCGCAAGTATTCGATCAGCGAAACGCAAGGCAGTCGATTTTGGTATTCTCGTTGCCATGCGAATCGTGGATACGCGTTGAGCACATATTGGCAACATCACAATTTCTAAGTAGCTAATAGCCAAAGGTTGATAAGTGACGGATGTAACAATGAAAAATGTCAATGTTACGTGAATTTCATAACCTATTGTTGAGTTATGTCAAGCTATTTTTCTATGGATATGTCATTATTCTTATTATACGAGGGAAGTGTTGAAGACTCTTCTCAGCATTTTCGATGTTTTGAACAATATTTATAGCTCTTTAGCTGCCAAGTCGTAAATTATCAATTACTTATTGAAGAATTTATAGAAGAAGTAGTAATTTTCACTAAAGAGCAAGATAACGCACAAAATCACAATTTGTTCTATTTTCACTGACAGTTCGACAAGCAAAACGATCCTTTAAGGCAACCGTTTTCAAAGCGCTCAGCGCAATCAGTAAAGATGCTAAGCGCGTTAGACGAGAATACCGAAATCGTTATTAAGTGCGCGCTCAGCGAAAATTAACGTCATATACGCTGAGCGTCTAAAAGCGCTTAGCGTTTTCAAAGTTACAGAATACGGGCCCTGGTAATAACTAACAGAACTATTTTAGTTCTGTTAATTGAACTAAAATAGTTCTGAACTAATACATTTCTTAAACCAAACCCAACAAAATAAAATTAAACAGTCTAATTTTATTTTGTTTATTCTAACAACTTTACCAACTTCCTCTGAAGTGACAGGGAAGGTTTCTACTGAAGTTATTAGTAATTTAAAACAAGGTCTAGTGTCTTTGTTCAAGGACAGTTTCAGCAAACACCTCTTGGAGACTGCAGAGGTAAGTTTAGTAAATAAATAAATAAATTAGAGGCAATCTTTACATAAATATTAATACAAATATATTTTTTCTTTGTTTCAGGATCGATCGGAGTCGGATAAGAACTTTGTGGAAGCTAAGAAAAATTAAGACTTCTTCAGTTTGTGCCAGTGAAATGATTGTTTTAAGTGTATCATGTTATTAATTGTAGATTTTTTTATTGAATAAATTCTCTTTACAAACGATTTTTGATATTATTCCTTTTAAATTATAATAAAGAAAAATATAAAATTAATAGGCAACTAATAAATCAGTAGCTTATTAATGCATTGAAAAGTACAGATAAACAATATTGCACTACATTATTTGTTTTTTAATTGCCTAATAATTATTTTTTCTAATAGGTAATAATATTAAGCTAAAAATATATAATTTCTGGTGATTTTGTACTAATTGAACCAACATAGTTCTGAACTAAAATAGTTACTAGTATAGTAACTATATTTAGGTCTGTTATTGAACTAATATAGTTCTGTTGATTGAACTAAAATAGTTCTGTTAATTGAACTACATTTAGTTCTGTTAATTGAACTAAAATAGTTCTGTTAGTTGAACTAAAATAGTTCCGAACTAAAATAATTCCGAACTAAAATAGCTCCGAACTAAAATAGTTCTGTTGAACTATATTTAGTTCTGTTAATTGAACGAACATAGTTCTGCTAATTGAACTAAAATAGTTCTGCTAATTGAACTAAAATAGTTCTGAACTAATACATTTCTTAATCCAAACCAAACAAAATAAAATTAAACAGTCTAATTTTATTTTGTTTATTCCCCTCAACTTTACCAACTTCCTCTGAAGTGACATGGAAGGTTTCTACTGAAGTTATTAGTAACTTATTACTACCTAGATTTCTTTGTTCCAGGATCGATCGGAGTCGGATAAGAGCTTTTTGGAAGCTCTGCTAAGAAAAATTAAGACTTCTTCAGTTTGTGCCAGTGAAATGATTGTTTTTAGTGTATCATGTTATTAATTGTAATATTAATTCAATTAACAGAACTAGTTTACTTCGGAACTATTTTAGTTGAACTAACAGAACTATTTTAGTTCATTTAACAGAACTAAAATAGTTCTGTTAATTGAACTAAAATAGTTCTGAACTAATATATTTTTTAAACCAAACCAAACAAAATAAAATTAAACAGTCTAATTTTATTTTGTTTATTTTAGCAACTTTACCAACTTCCTCTGAAGTGATATGGAAAGCTTCTACTGAAGTTATTAGTAACTTAAAACAAGGTCTGGTGTCTTTGTTCAATGACAGTTTCAGCAAACAGCTCTTGGAGACTGAACTGGTAAGTTTAGTAAATAAACAAATAAATTAGAGGTAATCTTTACATACATATTTATACAAATATATTTTCTCTTTGTTCCAGGATCGATCGGAGTCGGATAAGAGCTTTGTGGAAGCTCTACTAAGAAAAATTAAGACTTATTATTGACTTTTTCAGTTTGTGCCAGTGAAATGATTGTTTTAAGTCTATCATTTTATTAATTGTAGATTTTTTTATTGAATAAATTCTCTGTACAAACGATTTTTGGTATTATTCCTTTTAAATTATAATAAAGAAAAATATAAAATTAATAGTCAACTTATAAAACAGTAGCTTATTAATGCATTGAAAAATACAGATAACCAATATTGCAGTACATTATTTGTTATTTAATTGCCTAATAATTATTTTTTCTAATATTAATATTAAGCTAAAAATATATCATTTCTGGTGATTTTGTACTAATTGGACTAATTGAATATAGTTCTGAACTATAATAGTTCTGAATTAATATATGTCTGAACTAAAATAATTCTGTTAATTGAACTAAAATATTTCTGTTAATTGAACTGTATTTAGTTCTGTTGATTGAAATAATATAGTTCTGAACTAAAATAGTTCTGTTAATCGAACTAATATAGTTCTGTTGATTGAACTAAAATAGTTCTGGTAATTGAACTAACATAGTTCTGTTAATTGAACTAAAATAGTTCTGCTAATTGAACTAAAATAGTTCTGAACTAATACATTTCTTAAACCAAACCAAACATAATAAAATGAAACAGTCTAATTTTATTTTGTTTTTTCTAGCAACTTTACCAACTTCCTCTGAAGTGATATGGAAAGCTTCTACTGAAGTTATTAGTAATTTAAAACAAGGTCTGGTGTCTTTGTTCAATGACAGTTTCAGCAAACACATCTTGGAGACTGAACTGGTAAGTTTAGTAAATAAACAAATAAATTAGAGGTAATCTTTACATACATATTTATACAAATATATTTTCTCTTTGTTCCAGGATCGATCGGAGTCGGATAAGAGCTTTGTGGAAGCTCTACTAAGAAAAATTAAAAGACTTTTTCAGTTTGTGCCAGTGAAATGATTGTTTTAAGTCTATCATTTTATTAATTGTAGATTTTTTTATTGAATAAATTCTCTTCACAAACGATTTTTGGTATTATTCCTTTTAAATTATAATAAAGAAAAATATAAAATTAATAGTCAACTAATAAAACAGTAGCTTATTAGTGCATTGAAAAATACAGATAACCAATATTGCAGTACATTATTTGTTTTTTAATTGCCTAATAATTATTTTTTCTAATATTAATATTAAGCTAAAAATATATCATTTCTGGTGATTTTGTACTAATTGAACTAATTGAATATAGTTCTGAACTATAATAGTTCTGAATTAATATATGTCTGAACTAAAATAATTCTGTTAATTGAACTAAAATAGTTCTGTTAATTGAACTATATTTAGTTCTGTTGATTGAAATAATATAGTTCTGAACTAAAATAGTTCTGTTAATTGAACTAAAATAGTTCTGCTAATTGAACTAAAATAGTTCTGAACTAATACATTTCTTAAACCAAACCAAACAAAATAAAATTAAACAGTCTAATTTTATTTTGTTTATTCTAGCAACTTTACCTACTTCCTCTGAAGTGACATCAAAGGTTTCTACTGAAGTTATTAGTAACTTATTACTACCTAGATTTCTTTGTTCCAGGATCGATCGGAGTCTCTGCTAAGTAAAATTAAGACTTCTTCAGTTTGTGCCAGTGAAATGATTGTTTTAAGTGTATCATGTTATTAATTGTAGATTTTTTTATTGAATAAATTCTCTTTACAATTGAAGTAATATAGTTCTGAACTAAAATAGTTCTGTTAAGTGAACCACATTTGGTTCTGTTAATTGAACTAATATAGTTCTGTTGATTGAACTATACAGTTCTGTTAATTGAACTATATTCAGTTCTGTTAATTGAACTATATTTAGTTCTGTAGTTGAACTAAATTAGTTCTGTTAATTAAACTATATTTAGTTCTGTTAATTGAACTAAAATAGTTCTGTTAGTTTAACTAAAATAGTTCCGAACTAAACTAGCTCTGTTAATTGAACTATATTCAGTTCTGTTAATTGAACTAAAATAGTTCTGTTAATTGAACTAAACTAGTTCCGCTAATTGAACTAAAATAGTTCTGAACTAATACATGGAAGGTTTCTACTGAAGTTATTAGTAACTTAAAACAAGGTCTGGTGTCTTTGTTCAATGACAGTTTCAGCAAACAGCTCTTGGAGACTGCACAGGTAAGTTTAGTAAATAAATATATTAGAGGCAATCTTTACATAAATATTAATACAAATATATTTTTTCTTTGTTCCAGGATCGATCGGAGTCGGATAAGAACTTTGTGGAAGCTCTACTAAGAAAAATTAAAAAACTTTTTCAGTTTGTAGCAGTAAAATGATTGTTTTAAGTGTATCATGTTATTAATTGTAGATTTTTTTATTGAATAAATTCTCTTTACAAACGATTTTTGGTATTACTACTGCATTAATAAGTTAATGCATTGAAAAATACAGATAACCAATATTGCACTACATTATTTGTTGCCTAATAATTATTTTTTCTAATATTAATATTAAGCTAAAAATATATAATTTCTGGTGATTTTGTACTAATTGAACTAATATAGTTCTGAACTAAAATAATTCTGTTTATTTGAATTATATTTAGTTCTGTTAATTGAACTAAAATAGTTCTGAACTAATATATTTCTTAAACCAAACCAAACAATATAGGATCCTATATCTCCTACGCGAAGCAAAGGGCTTCAGTAAAAGCTCTCCATCGGGTTCTGTTTTTGGCAGTTGTTTTTGCTTCCTTCCATGTTTACCCTACTTGTTGAAGCTCATCCAGTATGGAACGTCTCCATGTTTGAGCAGGTCGTCCTTGCTTTCTTTTTCCTTGGGGATTCCACTCCAACGCTGATCTCGCTATATTACTATCAGGTTTCCGCAAAGTGTGACCTATCCAACCCCATTTTCTTTTGCGGATTTCAATGCCTACTTCTTTGTTGGTTTGTAAGATGAAGCAGGTCGGTGTTACGTATAGTGTCTAGCCAAAAGATTTTAAGTATTTTCCGCAAGCAGCGATTGATAAATACCTGTGGACGGTTGATGGATATTTTGTCACTCTCCATGTCTCGCAGCCATATAATAAAACTGGTATGACGTTGGAATTGAATATTCTTAATTTTGTTTGTATGGAGAGTTGACGGGAGGTCCAAACTGATTTTAGTTGGCCAAAGGCTCGCTGCGCCTTCCTGATCCTGCTGACAATATCCGCGTCTGCGCCACCGTTTGCTGTTAGAATACTTCCCAGGTAAGTAAACTCTGTTACATTCTCGACATGTTTGATTCCTACATTGAATGGAGTGTTGTTGTTTGTGTTAATGCGCATTGACTTTGTTTTGTCGATGTTTATGCTTAATCCTACTTTGTCTGCTTCTGTTTTTAGACGTCTGAGCATCACTTCCATGTTTTTGAAGGATTGCGTTGTGAGACAGATATCATCAGCATAATCAAGATCCGTCAGATGCTATGTCAGAGTCCATTGTACTCCCCTAATGTTTGCTGTGGCTTTAGTCAAAACGCTGTCGAGCACGATATTAAATAGAAGCGGCGATAATGTGCAACCCTGCTTTACTCCTGTCCCTAAGTTAAAACTGTCGCTGGTTCTACCGTTGTGCGGCACATTGCATTCTGTGTTTCTGTAGAGTTCCTTGATTATATTAATTAGTTTTTCCGGAACACCTTTTTCTTTTAGAGTTTTTCATACCATCGCATGGGGGATACTGTCTAAAGCTTTGACGAAATCTATGAATTATAAGAATAAAGGTGACCTAAATTCTATTGACTGCTCTATGATAATGCGCAATGTGTTAATATGGTCAATGCACGAGTGGTTCGGTCGGAAACCAACTTGGTTCTCTCTCAGAGTAGGCTCTATATAGGAGTTTAACCTTAAATGAACTATAGAGGATAATATCTTGTGAATGGTGTTTAACAAAACAATACCTCTCCAGTTGTCACAGTTAGTGGTATCTCCTTTTTTAGGGAGTTTAATAATGAGACCCTGTTTCCATTCATCTGGGGTGATGTTAGATACCCAAGCTCGTGTAATTAGAGGATGCAGTATGTCTGCTGCTGTGCTAGGATCTGCTTTGAGGAGGTCTGCAGGGACGCTATCAGGGCCGGCTGCTTTATTGTTCTTAATAGCCTTTTGTATTTCTGTTTTCGTTGGCGTGTCGCAGTTGATAGGCATTTCGATTGTTGGCTCCGGTTCTTCCGAACTATAATAGTTCGTGGGATCTTCTGAACTATAATAGTTCTGAAATAAATACCAAAAATCGTTTGTAAAGAGAATTTATTCAATAAAAAATCTACAATTAATAACATGATACACTTAAAACAATCATTTCACTGTCACAAACTGAAAGTTTTTTAATTTTTCTTATTAGAGCTTCCACAAAGCTCTTATCCGACTCCGATCGATCCTGGAACAAAGAAAAAATATATTTGTATTAATATTTATGTAAAGATTACCTCTATTTATTTATTTACTAAACTTACCTGTTCAGTCACCAAGAGCTGTTTGCTGAAACTGTCATTGAACAAATACACCAGACCTTGTTTTAAGTTACTAATACCTTCAGTACCAAATATGATTTAATCTGCTGGTCTATATTCTTGTGTCAGTGTCACGAAATTTTAAAAAATGCCTTTAACTTCAGAGCAAAAATCGATTATATTTACGCGATTAAGGGATGGGGTTCCCATAAAGGACATTGCAGATGCATTAGGGATAAACAAAAAAACAGTGTTGTTGGCTAAATCCAAAAAAAAATCAATATAATTCAAATATCCTTATAGACCAGGAGTTCCATCTGGGACTACTAATTCTTGTACTACTTTTTTTTATCGCAATGGTACATAGTTTATTACATTCAGATTTGCAATTACAGTAAATAATTTTCAATACAAATTCTGGTGCCACTGCGTTTGACATTGTTTTTGGAACTACGGTATCCGTTTTTTTACTCCATCCACATTCTGTTGCCTCTTCTCCGTTATTTAGCCAATACTGCATTTATAAATAGGTCCTATAATAATGATTTTCAGCTGCGTGTTGTTGGAGGTAAGGTAGCTAAATCCGACCACCTTGTCCGACCGGGACAAGGTGGAGACTGCTTTCGCACATTATTAGTACACATGTATTTAGTAAAGGATAGCTTTTACAATAATTTTTGTTAATTTTGAAATATTATTAACCCACCAATCAAAATATTTCTTGAAAATGTTACAAGGATTGTATTTCAGTTGAATTGATGCTAAATATCCATGTTATTTGTTAATAAGCTTAAAAAATTAGTAATTTGCATTTTGGTGATTCCTTTTAAAAATTGTTCGATTTTCAAAATTTTTTGTACGTCATTGCGTTAGGATAATAAACAATTTTTTATTGATTCTAATAGAGTTTTTTATTCTCTTTAATTTTTACCTCTTGAAGTTTTTCGCTATAACAAACCGTTTTCGAGTTATTTACATTTTTTCCCAAAAAGTACCAAAATTCAAGATGGCGGCCGATTTTTTTTGATGACGCACACATCGGACAAATGGGGACTTTTAGTATGAACAAATAATGTAGTGCAATATTGGTTATCTGTATTTTTCAATGCATTAATAAGCTACTGTTTTATTAGTTGCCTCTTAATTTTATATTTTAATTTATTATAATTTAAAAGGAATAATACCAAAAATCGGTTATAAAGAGAATTTATTCAATAAAAAAATCTACAATTAATAACATGATACACTTAAAAACAATCATTTCACTGGCACAAACTGAAAAAGTCTTTTAATTTTTCTTAGTAGAGCTTCCACAAAGCTCTTATCCGACTCCGATCGATCCTGGAACAAAGAGAATATATTTGTATAAATATTTATGTAAAAATTACCTCTAATTTATTTGTTTATTTACTAAACTTACCTGTTCAGTCTCCAAGAGCTGTTTGCGAAGAAACTGTCATTGAACAAAGACACCGGACCTTGTTTTAAGTTAATAATAGCTTCAGTAGAAGCGTTCAATATCACTTCAGAGGAAGTTGGTCAAGCTGCTAGAATAAACAAAATAAAATTAGACTGTTTAATTTTATTTTGTTTGGTTTGGTTTAAGAAATATATTAGTTCAGAACTATTTTAGTTCAATTAACAGATCTATTTTAGTTCTGTTAAACAGAACTAAATATAGTTCAATTAACAAAACTATTTTAGTTCAATCAACACAACTATATTAGTTCAATTAACAGAACTATTTTAGTTCAGAACTATATTAATTCAGAACTGTTATAGTTCAGAACTATATTTAATTAGTTCGATTAGTACAAATCACCAGAAATTATATATTTTTAGCTTAATTTTAATATTAGAAAAAATAATTATTAGGCAATTAAAAAACAAATAATGTAGTGCAATATTGGTTATCTGTATTTTTCAATGCATTAATAAGCTACTGTTTTATTAGCTGCCTATTCATTTTATATTTTAATTTATTATAATTTAAATGGAATAATACCAAAAATCGTTTGTAAAGAGAATTTATTCAATAAAAAAAATCTACAATTAATAACATGATACACAATCATTTCACTGGCAAACAATCATTTCACTGGCACAAACTGAAATAGTCTTTTAATTTTTCTTAGTAGAGTTTCCACAAAGCTCTTATCCGACTCCGATCGATCCTGGAACAAAGAAAAAATATATTTGTATTAATATTTATGTAAAGTTACCTCTAATTTATTTATTTATTTACTAAACTTACCTGTTCAGTCTCCAAGAGCTGTTTGCTGAAAATGTCATTAAACAAAGACACCAGACCTTGTTTTACGTTACTAATAGCTTTAGTAGAAGCCTTCCATATATTTCTTAAGAAATATATTAGTTCAGAACTATTTTAGTTCAATTAACAGAACTAGTTTAGTTTGGAACTATTTTAGTTGAACTAACAGAACTATTTTAGTTCAATTAACAAAACTAAATATAGTTCAATTAACAGAACTATTTTAGTTCAACTAACAGAACTATTTTAGTTCAATCAACTGAACTAAATATAGTTCAATTAACAGAACTGAATATAGTTCAATTATCAGAACTCTATAGTTCAATCAACAGAACTATATTAGTTCAATTAACAGAACTATGTTAGTTCTCAACAGAACTAAATATAGTTCAATTAACAGACCTATTTTAGTTCAGAACTATATACTTCAATTAGTACAAAAGCACCAGAAATGATATATTTTTAGCTTAATATTAATATTAGAAAAAATAATTATTAGGCAATTAAAAAACAA